GGTCACATCATCAACTCCTCTATTCTCTGTTAGACCCGAGTAGCTAAGTGTAGCTCACACTCAGAGCAAGGGAACTGGCTTTATATCTCAAAGGGAGAGTATTGAAGACTGCATTTTACAAGGAAATTTTCAGATTCAAATAGCTGCAAGGCCTCTGTCGGGAAACTCTACAGCCTTATTGAGAGGCATCAGCAAAAGGATTAACTGGTTAATAGAGTTCCCAGGAGCCTCAGGGAAGGAGAAACTTCTGGGTCGGGATCGTGGCTTGAGTGTCAGGCCCGGATATCAGGGAGGCTCTGCTTTTGGTGAAGCAATGGCACCCCACTCCAGTACTCTTGCCTGGGAAATCCCATGGACGGAGGAGCCTGGTAGGCTGCAGTCCATCGGGTCACAAAGAGTCAGACATGACTGAGCGACTTCACTTTCACTTTTCACTTTTATGCATTGGGGAAGGAAATGGCAACCCACTCCAGTGCTCTTGCCTGGAGAACCCCAGGGACGGGGTCACACAGAGTCGGACACGACTGAAGTGACTTAGCAGCAGCAGCAGCTGCTTTTGATGAGGGCTTCCTTGAAACTGCACTTTTCTGCTTCTTCCTCTTTTTAAAAAAGAATATGTATTTGGCTTTGCCAGGTCTTAGTTGCGGCATGTGGGATCCAGTTCCCTGAGCAGTGGTCAAACCCGGGTCTCCTGCGTTGGAGCCTGGAGTCTTAGCCTCTGGACCCCCAGGAAGTTCCGCACCCTGAGGTTTATATACGGCAATCTGTATATGTGTGATGAAGTTGCTGGTCTTTTAAAAAAAATTATTTGCTTTTGGCCCTGCTGGGTCTTCGTTGCCGGGTGGGCTTTGTCTGTGGAGGATGGGCGCAGCTCTCTAGGTGATGGATTCCGCTGCCACCAGCCACGGACGGACACAAGACGCCCAGGCCAGGGCGGCCGGCTTCTTCCTGCGGTGATTCCTCTCGTGGAGCACAGGCCGTGGGCACGTGGGTCCAGTAGTTGCGACTCGCAGACTCTGGAGCACTGGCTCAATCGTTGGCGCACAGGCTTGGTTGTTCTGCTGCGTGTGGAATTTTTCCAGGCCGGGGATCGAACCCGGGTCTCCTGCTTTGGCAGGCGGATTCTTTACCCCCTAGCCACCTAGGAAGCCCTATTGCTGCTCTCTTAATTTCAAACACATGTTAACATCCCTGCATTTTTGCTCCCCTCCCCTCATAACGACTGTGACGTTTCTGACAGCACCTTTGACGTCTTTTGTGTATCCCTTAACTGCGTATTGTGTATACCGATTTTTTCCTTCTGTCTTAATCTGCCTGCTAGCTTTGTGTGTGGTGAACCTGCTCCCTTTAGTGGGTATTTGCTTTACCAATGAGTGTTTTCCTTTCATAATTTTCAAGTTTCTGGTTGTAGCTGCTGTTTTTTTTTTGTTTTGCTTAGAGACATCTCTTGAACATCTCTTATAAAGCTGGTTTGGTGGTGCTGTAAAACTTTTGATCTCTCCATCATATCTGAATGAGAGTCTTGCCAGGAAAAGTATCCTTGGGTGGGTGTAGGTTTTTCCCTTTCATCACTTTAAATATAGAGACCCTCCCTTCTGGCCTGCAGTTTCTGCTGAGGAGCCAGCCTTTGTATGTAACTTGTTGCTTTTCTCTTGCTTTTTCTTTTTGTATGTGTGTGTTTCGTCGCATCATGTGGCATGAGGGGTCCTAGTTCTCCAACCAGGGGTCAAACCCACGCCCCCTGCAGTGTGAACCACAGGGCTGCCAGGGACGTCCCTCCCTTGCTGTTTTTAATGTTCTCTTTTCATCTTTAGTTTTTGCCATTTTACTTCCAGCGTGTCTTGGGGTTGCTCCCGTTGGAATTCTCTGTGCTTCCAGCACTGAATGTCTGCTTGCTTTCCCAGGTTAGGGGAGTTTTCAGCTACAATATCTTCAAATAAATTCTCTGTCCCTTTTCTTTCTTTTCTTCTAGGACCCCTACAATGCTAACATGAGAATACTTGATGTTATCGCAGAGATCTCTGAGACTGTCCTCGTTTCTCTTTTTTCTTTTCAGCTTCAGTGATTTCCACTTCTGTCCGCAAGTTCACTGACCACCTCTCTGCATCATTCAGCCTACTGTTGATTCCTTCCAGTGTCTTTTTAAATATTCAGTTACTACATTTTTCACCTGTGTCTGGGGGTTCTTTAACATTTTCTGACTCTTGTTAAAAATGTCTTAACTGCTCCCTCTGTTTCTCTCTTCTTTTCCTGAGTTCTTTGATCGTCTTTGTGATCATTACCTCGAACTCTTTCTGGGGTAGGTTGCCTGTTTCCGCTTCACCTCGCTCTCCTAGGCTGTATCTTCTCTTGGTGGGGAAACAGGGAGCGGCTCTTTTCGATTTTCGTTTGCTTTTCTCTGACTGTGCCGGGTCTTTGCTGCGGCATGCGTGGGCTTTCTCTCGTTGCAGTGTGTGGCTTCTCCTGCTGTGTCTCACGGGCTCAGCGGCCAGCCAGGTTCTGACCCTGCACTGGAAGGCAGTCTCACCCGCTAGGCCGTCGGGGAGCTCCGACCTGGGATTCCATCGTGTTCCTTTGTGCAAACATGCTGCTCTGCCCCCTCATCTGCCTCATTTGCTCTTCTTGCTGTCTTGTTGGTTGGCTGTTAGCCGCCCGTGGAGACGTGGCCTTTTGTAGGAGAAGGGCTGTGGGTCCTCCAGCAGGGTGCTCTCCTCCGGCCGGGGTGTACACTGTAGGGGCACCCCGTACGTGGGCCGCTCGGCCCCTTCTGCTGCGGTAGGTTGCCCACTGTGAGTGGCCTGGTGGGTGTGGCTGGCCCCCGGTCCAGCTGGTCGCCTTCTTTCTTTTAATGATGTTAGCATTAGCTGGTCCCATGGTTGCCCAGCTACAGATGACATTTCCCAGCATCCCTTGCAGCTAGGTACGGCCAATGGGATGAGCTTAGAGGCCCTGTGAGCCTCCTCTCCCTGTCTCCTCCTTCCTGGGGGCCGGAGGGCAGACGCGATGCTGGTCATTAGCTTCTGCCAGGGATGACGCCCTAGGGGATAACAGCAACACAGGGAAGGAACCTGGGCCCCCGGGTGACCACGTGGAGCAGAGCTGCTGTCATCCACTCCCCTCTGAACCGCTACAGGACAGAAAGTTCTGTCTCTGACCCAGAGTATTGTGGGAGCTTGTTTATCAAGGCGGTTTAGCCTGTGCTGTAACTGACCCAGACCCCACGCCTTGGGGTCCCTAATCAGACACAGGTGGCAGAGGTGTGAGACGTGGGCTCGGGAAGCAGGCCTCAGCCCAGGCGTGGGTGCTGATCTGCCGTGTGGTGCTGGGTAGTCCCCCCGCCTGTTTGGGCAGCGCTACATGCTAGGCCATCTCATAAATTCACCTCCAGTGAGATGAGGGCCATATGAGCGAAGATGCACCTTTGCTTGCCAGGCCGATGTCAGAGAAGAGTTTTATTAGGAAGCTCCCGAGGGTGAAACTTAGTGTGGTTGGAATCTGCAGGAACCCTGCCTGCCTGCTGTCGGCCAATTCCAGGGGCCAGAGCAGGGACGGGGGCTGCTTCAGGAACGTCTCTTCTGGTCCCGTTTAGTATCACTATCATTATTTTTAAAATACGTGTTTCTCGGCTTGCTTCGGGTCTCAGCAGCGGCACGCAGGGTCTTCACTGTGTCACGCGGGCTCTTTGGCTGTGGTTTATGAGCTCACTGGTTTGCAGCTCATGGGCTTAGCTGTGGCATTTGGGATCTTAGTTCCCCAACCAGGGATCGAACCCACGTCTCCTGTGTTGGAAGGCAGATTCTTAACCACTGGACCGCCAGGGAAGTCCCTGCCCCTTTTATTTTTTGTTAACATACAGTGACGCTGAGGTTTTGAGGGGAACGCCCACTTCCATGGATCTTACCACACACAGTAGACTCCTGCGGCCCCACACGCAGCCGGCTGTTGTCCTGCGGCCCCCCCTGCGGCCCCGCCCGAGACTGCCTGCTGGACCCCCGGGTCCTCCTTTCCTCGTGGTCCCTCTTCTGTGTCCCCCGGGTGACCCTTGCTCCCGAGTCCTGCATCCTCCCATCTGCTACCTCCCCCCCACCTCCGGGAGGCAGGTCAGCACCCCTGCAAGGCGCCCGTTGCCTGGGAGATGGCGTCACCAGGGCCCCATCCCCGGCCCGTCCCCGCCGGGCGCCTGGCCCCGCTCTGCCCTCTGCAGGGCTCCGTCCTCCTGGGCTCAGACTGGCCCCTCTCTGGATTCTGGCCGCTCTCGCCTGGACTCTGGCCCTTCTCGTCGGCCGCGGTTCAGCACTGATCCCACCTGCCCTGCGGTGCTGGCCAGCGTGCCTTTCTCCCCCACGAGGGTTTAAGGTTGATGAACCTTGCTTCTGCCTGTGACCCGTGGGGCCCGGTACCTCCTGGGCGCTCAGGAAAGAGGGGCTCTGGGGTCTGCGCTCATGGGGCACTTTACGGCAGCACACTTGGGCGCTCCCTGTTCCCTTGCATTAAGTGCCCTTCCCTCCTCTCTGTCCAAGTCTAACCACTCTTCTGGAGCTAGTTCAAGGCCACCTCCACCAGGAAGCCGTGATCACTGTCTCCTCCCTGCGGGTTCCCCCAGCCCGGTGTCCAGCCGTCAGCACTTCTGGGGGCAGGGGTGGTGTCCTCAGTGGAGTGTGGGGCATGAGGTTCCTGGAGCAATCACGCTGTGTGGACGGAGAGGACACTGCTGGGAAGGGAAGAGATCCTGGGAGCCCAGGGAAGGGATTCTGGACTGAACCAGACAGAAAAGTGGGCACTTTGACTCCAAGGGCAGGGGGCTGGCAGCAGGTACAGGCTGATCAAGCAACCGTCGGCCACGTGGATGCTGGCAGCAGGAATGTAGGCCAGGAATGAGGAGCCCAGGGAAGGCGTGGCTGCCGGGCTCTGAGCTTGGACCGGTCTCAGAAGGAGCCGGTGACCCCAGGGTTCTGAGGATGTGATGGTGGCCAGGCTGCCCACAGGCCGGGCCAGCAACCTCAGCAGGAGATGAGGCAGGAGTGGGTGAGGGCCGGGCCTGTGGAGGCAGGGGCCGCGGGCTCTCTCTGCAGGAGCTCACAGCCAGCCAAAGCTCGGTGCAGCTTGTCCAGCACGGCCGAGGCGCCAGACGTCCCCTCTGGAAAGAGACAGTGGGCAGCAGGGAGGGTCATTCTGTTCCCCGTGGCCCGCAGGGCCGCCAGCCCTCCTCCTGGGCCCCCCGCAGCCCTGGCCACGCCTCTCCCTCTGAGGGCCCTGGGGAAGGCAGCTTCCAGTGCCCAGTTTCTGAACTCCTCCTTGATGCCCGGGGCCAGTCAGGGCACTGGACGCACCCGAGCCCTGCCCAGCGGCGCCTGGTGGGGCCAGTGAGCACAGGATCATCACCAGTGAGTCTCCCCTCCTGGTTTCACCAGGTGCCAGCCGGCCCTGATGCAACTGTGCTGCCCTGAACTTGTCTGAACAACGGGGCCACGTGACCTAGTGCTTAAGGGAGAGAACTGAGGTCTAAGTGCAGCTGACCCTTGGCCTCTCTGTGCCTCAGTCTCCCCATCTGTGGAATGGGTGTGATAATAGTCCTTCCTCCGCAGTAAGCCTGGGGCTAAACTGGCAGCAGGGAACTGCCTGGCTTCCTCGGAGTCTGGCCACACCTGCTTTTATTTGGCCTTTTCCCTGAAGTCTCTGCTCCCCGTCCTTCTCAAATAGCACCTTCAGCTTCCTGAAGCCTGTTCCTGACTGCACCCTTTGCAGCTGGGCTGGGCAGGAGTGAGGCAGCATTTTGCAGGCAAGACACTCAGGATGGAGAAGCTGGGTCAGGATGCTGCCCAGGCCTCGGAAGATGGGTCAGGGCGGGGGCTCACCTACCGTGTGCGGTGTCCCTGCAAGCATCCAGTGTGCTCAGCAAAATCTTCCCCAGGGCCTTTTTCGATATGTTCTTAAAAAAAAGAAATAAGACAGGGCTGGACTGGCCATGGTTGCTCTATCTTCAAGCAGTGGGTGGGGCGTGGTGGCCCCTACAGACTTCTGTGTGGCTCCCTGGGAGCAGGTAGAGTCCATTCCCGCCCCCCACCCCCAGCCCAGGGTCCTTTCCCGGCTCCCGTCCCCGGGATGACTACACTGCCCAGACTCTTGGTGGGTACCGCATCGTGCAGGACCCATGTCCTGACAGACCGCTGTCCCTGCGCCCAAGGAGGCACCTGGGAAATGACCATGAAAAAGAGGATTTTGACGTGTTCGCTCCTTTAATCCTCGCAACAGCTTATTTTATTCTCATTTTAACCAGTGAAAAGCAGTGCTGAAAAAATGAGGACTCTGCCTGAAGCCACCAGCTGGGAGGTGGAGGAATCAGGTGGTCTGTGTTAATAGATGTTTGATCTTGAACCATCTTTGAATTCCTGGGATAAATCCAACTAATCACCTTGTGTTTCTTTAAACACTGCCAGGTTTGGTTTGCTAATATGCTGACTAATATTTCTGCATCTGTATTTAAGTGTGACACTAGCTTATAATTTTCTTTTCTTACACTAGTTGTCGTCTGGTTTTGAGATCAAAGTTATATTAGCTTCATAAGATGAGTTAGAGACCCTCCCCTTCTTTTTGATGACTTTCCCTGCGCTCTTCCTATGTCTGGAAGTGGAGGTGACACCTGCCCACATGGGGGGAGCTGAGAGCCAGTGCCTGACGCGGGTGGGCCCCAGCCCTGCGGGCCCCTCCCCAGCCCGGGGTATGCCAGCTCCCGTGAGCCCACCAGGTCGCGGAGCCTCTGCAGCAGCCCCAGCACGTCCTGCAGCTTCTCCTCCAGCAGGGACAGCCGCACCCTCTCTGTCTCCACCATCTGCAGCTCCTGCCGCAGGTTCACATTCTCGCCCACCTTCTGCTGCAGCTCTGCCTGCGGGGACACCAGGGGCTCAGCGGCCGCCCTGCCAGCCTCGGCCCCATGCACATAGCACCAGCCCCGGGCAGGGCCCACAGCCTGCCCTGATCCTCCCACGGGGGTCATCTCGTCTGGCCCCTGGGCCTACGGACAGAACCGCCCTGTCTCCCCAGTCTCACCGAGCCCCAGAGAAGCTGTGTGCCTGGCCCAAGGCCACACGGTCAGTCAGGCTGATGCAAGAACATACATGCTCCCTTTTATGGTGGAAGGACTCCATCCTTCCTTCTCTTCTCAATCCATCTGCTTGTCCTTTCTAAATGTTTTTGGTTGCAAGCAGCAAGCTAGTCTGGCCAGTTTGAGCCGAGGAGGAATTCACTGCCAGGCTAGTGGGTTGTCCCCAGAATGGGTCGCTGGCTGGAGAATATCAAGGGGTGGGGGCATGGAGGGTGAGGCAGGAGAAGCAGCCGGAGACCCCTGTCTGGGGGCTGCAGCTGAGAGCACTCTCCAGCCATTCCCACCTCCCTTGAGACGGGAGCCCCAGCCTCGGTCACAAGCCCAGCCCTGGCCAGGCGGCAGGGACGCTGCTGCTCCCTGCAGAATACCAGCAGGGAGAGGGTGGCGAGTTGCAGAATGCCACGTGGACACCTGCCTTCTAAAGCAGGGATGGGAGGAACGAGGCAGCCCCCGCTCCTGACAGCGATGGAGACAAAGAGAAGCAGCTGAAGGCGTGGTGTCCTTGGGCAGGAGAGAGAGCGCGGGGCCTGTGGACTTGGGAATGTGGTCTGTGGGTCTCAGGGACTGAGCTCCCCAGACTCCTGTTTGAGATTTAACTAGAAAGGGGTGGGTGCTCTGCCGTTTGGAACTGCATCAGACCACAGATATGTTAAAAAAAAGAAAAAAGCACTCCCAGAAAGCCCCCAAAAAAACCCCACAGTACAGATTTAGAGTTTCAGGAATGTCAATATAACACTCTTTTTATCAAAATCAGTTCGCAAAAGTGGCATTGTGCTAAGGGCTTAGTGAAATGAAAACTGTCTGTAGCATTCCACATTTGATGACTGTGATGCCACGGAGTGGACAGGAAAAAATGCCCAATGGTCTTGTTGAAATGCGGACACCGCTCTTGGTGTTGCCTGACGCCACCCTCCTCCCCTCCACAGCCAGCTCTCCTTGGGGCAGGTGTTTCTCTTCCATTTCATCTGTCTTTGATGGAGCTGCCAATCACGGGACCCTGCCCGCCTACCACAGAGATTGGTCCAGGTATGGGCACATGACTGAGGCCGACCATTGGCGTTATTCCCTGAGATTTACTGTATGGGGCTATTATTTTTCCTCTGGGGGTTTCTAAGTAGGCTGATGGGAGCCTAGAGCTGCTTGGGGTCCTGCTTTCCCTCACCCTACCACATGGAGAAAGCCCCTCCATAGCAGGGGAAAGTGAGGCCAGCACCCATGAAAAAAACAGAGCAGAAAGATGGGGGTGATATAATCTGAGCCCGGATCCAGCTGTGCTTGAAGCTCATCTCAACTATTCCTTTGAAACCATTCTCCCAGCCGCATATGGTAATAAATTCCTGTTTTTTTTCCCTTGAGCTGATCTGAGATGGATCCTTTAATGTGCAGCCAAACTATTCTTCATTAGATCTAAATCGTCTCTCAGAGCCTTGGTTTACCCATCTATGAAGGGGGCCCAGGACTTGGCTGAGATGGCTCACAGTCCTTCCACCTGAAAGAGACTAGCCATTTGTCCAGCTCCCAGCCTCCGGGGCTCCGCTGACCTCCTCCTCAGGTGTCCTCAGAGTCTTTGGATCGCAGCCCTGGGGCCCCAGCTGCTCCACCAGCATGGCGACACATGCCTCCAGCTCCCCCAGGGCGCGGGCGTGGTTGGCACCGCCCAAGTGGCTGAAGTGAGTCATGAGCTTCTTGGCTGTCCGGTCATCGCACCTGCAGCGGGGGAGAGTGCTGGCAGAGAGGGGGCTGCTTTCCAAAGGCTGTTCCAGCCTGGGCGGGGGGTGTGTTGTTACCGAGTCTGTGTCCCCTGAAAGCTGGGTGGGGCCATGGCACCCCCTGCCCACACCCTCCCTGGTTCCCCGTGTCGTCAGAGCAAAAGCCAGAGGCCTCGCCTAGTCTGCCCATTACCTCCCCTGCCTCCTTCCCACTCACCTTTGCTTTCTGCTCCAACCACGGCAGCCCCCTCCAGGCCCCTCCCACGGGCCCCAGGGCCTTTGCACCTGCTGTCCCCTCTGCCCGAAAGGCTTTCCCCTCATTTCCTTCAGATCTCTGCTCAAACAGCCCCTTCTCAGTGGCCCCCCCCAGCATGTCCTGCCCCCTCCTCTTCCTCATGCTTGTCACCACTCAGGAGAACAGAGGCTCCTGGGTGGGGGGCGGGAGGGGAGCTGTCTTGGTTAGTGCTGTTTGCCAGGAGCCCTCAAATTTCCCTGGCATATCGTAGGTGCTTCATATGCTTGTTGACTTAACGGGTTGGTGATAACAGTGACCCAAGAAAATCGGCAGAACTTTATAATAAAAGAGTCAGTGCTGCCCCCCCCACCCCCATGGAGTATCTGCTGGTATCAGGCCCCATGGGGGCATTTTATACCCTTGATGGCCAATCCGCACAAATCCTCTGCCAGGCAGTGTTAGAGTCCCATCTTAGAGACGGGAAGACTGAGGCTCAGAAGTCAGGTGACTTGACCAGGGTGGGGGGGCAGGCTTAGGCGTCAAGAGCAGTGGGTTAGGAAAGGGTCTGACACGTGGGGGGTCACACTCGAGCTGTGGGGCGGGTCCGGGGACTATGGTCACCAGAGTGAGGATCGGGGGAATTAAGCCACCAGGAAGTGTGCCCTTGCTCAGCTCATTTCCCTCGGACACGTGCCCAGGGCTTCGCCTCGACCAATGGATCACGGGGGCGAGCGTGAAACTGCAAGGAGGGGACCCAGCCTGGGTGTGAATCAGGAGGTCAGCCTCCACGTTCCAGGCCCATCACTGCATAGAGGGGCCACCCTGTGCTCCCAGGAGGACCGTGGGGGCCCGGCCCCGGGTATGCCCCATCCTGGACGTCCTCGCAGGAGCACGTACCCCCTCCCGCAGCCGGAGAGAACAGCCAGCAGCGCCGTGACCTCGGCCGGCGGCCGCTGCGCCTCCTGCCACTCCTCGCGGTCGTCGTCCTCGTCAGAGGCGGCCTGGCCCTCCACCGAGCGGAACAGCTGCTCGTCCAGCCCTGGAGAAGGGGGTGCTGTGGACAAGGACAGACGCGGAGGGGAGCCCCCTCCTTGGGGGCCGCCCGACTCCCCTCGGGAGCCCTCCCACCTCCGCTCCGCCCAGGCTGGGGGGACATGTGAGCCCAACCCGGCAGTCAGAGCGCAGCCACCCGGCCGCGTGACTGGGGCAGGCAGGCCTGGGGACCCCGCGGGGGCCGGGGACCGTCGGGCCAAACCCTGACTCAGACTTCCAGGGAGGAGGGACGCCCCTGCTCCTCCCGCCAGGGTCTGGAGGGCGTGGGCCTGGCTGCTGGGGGTGAGGGGCGCGCCTTCTGCACGTGAGCCTCGCAGCGGCTGGTGGACGAGGCCAGGGGAATGGGGCTCTGCCGACTCGGGGCCGTGCCGGAAGCCTGCTGGGGCTTTTAAGTGAGTTAGGTGAACCAGAAAGTTCCCTTGAACTAGAGCGGTTCAGGCCAAATGTACAATGTCCTGACCAACACGCCCCCTGGCCCCAGGGGACCGCGCGCTCAGGGGTGGGCCCCGGTCACCTGTGTTTTATGAGGCTCCTGGGTGGTTCTGATGGACTGGCAGGTTTGGGCACCCTGGCTCGGGTGTCCTGATCTTGGACACCCAGCTCGGTGGCTGCGGGGCCCTTCTGTTCTCAATAAAAAGTGTTCCAGACCCAGCAGAACCGGAATTGAGGTGACTGGTCAATAATTTTTTGATCATGTTATGTTTCCAGTATTGACAGTTTGGTCTTCTTCCTGGGGATTTCCTGCTGCTGTGTGTATATGTGTGTGTGTGGTCACTATAGTCACAGTTGTCCTGGCACCCAAGGCCGGGGCAGCGTAGGGCCTCTGAAGTTGTGTGAGAGGGTTGGCGCCTAGCAGCCTGTCCACGCCTGCCTGTAGCCCAGCCGGGAGAGCCCTGGGCACTGCTCAGGCAGCTTCTCTCTCCTTTCCTTTGCTCCTGACGCTGCACACCCAGCAGACCAGGATCTTAACATGATGGGCCTCTTTGTGGCCTTCTCAAGGGGTGACCAGCTTGCATACCTCTGATGACAGGGAGCTTACTCCCACTCCGGCTCCGTGGGTGCCCCACCGGCCCCTGCACGGCATTGGCAGGAGACGCGTTTCCGCACGCTGAGCCAGAGCCTGCCCCCCTGGAACCCACCCTCCCCCACAGGTGTCTGCTCTCAGGCCTGCGGAGGGGGTCCCTGGGGGCTGGGGAAGCCCAACCTCAGCAGGTAGAGAGTGGGGCTCTGTCTGGAGGCCGGATGGCGGCATCAGTGCAGACAGGACCCTGGGTGTGCAGGACAAACCTTGGTCCGGGGGTCTGCTCGCCGGGCTGCTGTTGGACCCCCAGGCTCCCTCTGGGGCGGGGTCTGGGCCTCTGGTCCCACCATCCTCAGGTTCACTACTCTTGGTGTCTGGCTCTGGGCTGGCTCGTGGTGAGCTTGGGAGCTGGGTGCCCTCTGACCTGTGGGAGGGGGAGAAACAGGTGTTGAGAGGCTGGGGCTCCGCCAGTTTCCTGCAGGAGAGTGTGAGGTGTGGGCCCACCCTCTCCACTGCTAAGGCTAAGCTGCCTGTGACATGCCTGCCAAAGCCTGTGGTGGTCTCTGCGGTCTCCTCCTACCTGATGGCCAGCACGGCAGAGTCAGCTTTCCATGGCGACAGTCATCAGCTTCCCTTGCAGCTGAGACATAGGCTTGTGATGCGATTTTAGCCAATGGGACTAGAGGCAAAACCCTCTGAGGAGCCTCTGTGTCCAGAAGGGCGGGGGTCCTTGGTTCCCACCCCAGCACTGCCAGCAGGGACTGGCGGGGGAACTGGGGGCCTCTTTTGCAGGCGGATCACTGGGGCCGACGCCTCTGAGGTCCTCCCAGCTCCCGTTGGATTCTCGCCCTGTGCCAGCGGGCAGAGGGGCAGGAAGCCATCAGGGTGGCCAGGAGCGCCAACCTTCTGTGTTTTATGAGCCACTAACTCTGCCTGATGACGCCCTGCATTCAGGCTCCCCCAGTACAAGCTGAGGATGGGGAGGTGCTCAGCGGCAATCAGTGTGAGACCCCCTGGATGCGGATTCTTGGTTCAGAGAGAAAATGGAGCTTAGGGCATATGATTTGAGGTCTAACTGGGGAGGGGACAGTCGGTCTCAACTCCAGAGGCTCGGATCACAGCCAGAAGAGAAGACAGGAGTCTAGGCTACAGGATCGCTTTCCCACAAAGACCGCTGACTGAGAACGGAACAGGCTTCCTTGGGAGGTGGTGAGCTTCCTGGCAGAGGAGGTGTGTAAGCAGTAAGGGCTTCAATGGGCAGAACGTTGAATAGCGTTGGAATGGGCTTCCCTGGTGGCTCAGAGGTAAAGAATCCACCTGCCAATGCAGGAGACCCAGGGTCGATCCCTGGGTTGGGAAGATCCCCTGGAGGAGGGTGTGGCAGCCCACTCCAGCACTCTTGCCTGGAGACTCCCACGGACAGAGCAGCCTGGCGGGCTACAGCCCACGGGGTCGCAGAGAGTCGGACACGACTGAGCGACTGAACAAGCACCACCGACAGTATCTAAGTCTTCCCACCGTGAGAAACTTGTTTCCCCTAAATTATTTAAGGGCTTCAACAAGCAAAATGAGATGGCGGGGACAGCCCATATGGACAGTTTCCTAGCAGAGGCTGGCCCACGTTCCCCACACCCGCTTAGACACCAGGGTCTTCGAAGCTGGTTCCAAGGGCGACTTCCTGCATCAACACCGCAACAGCTAAATCTCTTGGCATCCCTGCGAGGTGCCAGGCGCTGCTCGGCGCTTTGAACATGTCCTCCCAAGGCCCTGCCTGGATGGAGGCAGGGACCGTCCTGACCCCCGCTTCCCAGAGTGGCCAGCCCAAGCCGCACAGCTCAGAAACAAAGGAGCTGGGTTTACACTCCAGCCCCGCCAGGTGCAGGGAACGCTTGCGCGGTGAGCTCAGTGGCCCAGCCCAGCTGGTGCCCTGGTTAGGGGACCGCAGGTCACCTGCAGCAGAGTCAGGAAGGGGAAGCCCGCGGGGCCTGAGCTGGGAGAGAGAGCGCCACAGACGAGGACACGCTCTGCAACTTTCCAAGAGGTGACGCGGCTGCGGAGAAACATGGGGTATTCCTCTTGTCCAGCAGCTGGCCCCCCCGGCCTGCATGGCCGGCCCCTTTCCACGGGGTTTGTCTGCAGCCACAGGCCCCTTCGCATGTCACACGGGCGGGCTGAGCCATCGCCACCTTGGAAGAGAGACAGCAAGCCTCCCAGACCGTCTTCTGCCTGCCCCAATGACGTCCTGCCAGCCGCCCTGCTCCCTGGCTGGACACCTCCGGCCCTCGGCTTCCGGGAGGCGCCCGTCCTGCCCAGCACCCTTTCCCTTGCTCATCCTCCACATCCTGACCCTAAACCCGAGGATCTCGTATCTCTTCCACGTGCCCGCTAGCTCTGCGAGGGCTCAGCCAGCACCCCGGCTTCCAAACCCGCCTGCAGCCCTGACCCCTCAGATCCTGTTTCTTCATGAGCCCTGCCCACCCCACCCCCAGCCCTGCGGCTGCTGCCTGGTCACCTCCTCCTGGAAGCCCCGTGCAATCGCTGACGCCTCCTTGTCTTCCTGCATCTGCTCCTCCCGCTCCCCGCGCCCCCCAGGGAGGGGTGCCATCTTGGCCCCCCAAGCAGTGGCCATTGGCTTTGGCCACCTGGAGGTCATGTAAAGAGGCCAGCTCTGGGGGAGGGGTCACAGCGAGGCTGTGGACTAGAGCCTGCCAGGCTCCTCTGTCCGTGGGGTTCTCCAGCAAGAATACTGGAGTGGGTTGCCATTTCCTCCTCCAAGTGATCTTCCTGACCCAGGGATTGAACCTCGTCTCCTGCATCAGCAGGCGGGTTCTTTACCACTGAGCCGCCAGGGAAGCCCATGCGTGTGTCAGGCTGACACAGATGGAATTGCTGATGTTTCCCACCTCGACCTGCGGGAGGGCACTCATGAGTGGTTCAGTTAAGAGGATGCGTCTGTCTGTGTAGTATTCCTGGATGGACTGGCTGCAAACCCTCCCTGCAGTGGCTTGTGGAAAGCTTTGCTGGAGTATTCTGGGCCTAGAAACTTGGCGGTTCTTGGCCCCGGGACTGGACCACGGGGCCCGAGGTTTAACGAGGGGTTCCCATAAGAGTGAGATCCGTGGGGTTGGTCCAGGGAGCAGACCTGGGTGCAGGCGGAGGTCACCTGTGGCCCCCTGACTTGCATCTCTGGCTTCCTGGAAGGTGCTAGCCCCAAGGTCACCGAGAGGGGGTCTGTGACCTGTGAGGGGTGTCTGCCTCTGCCCCACACCCAGACTGTCAGCACTTGCTGTCCTGGCCATTTTCTGGAAGACAGCTCCAACCCCGTCCCTCTCTCCCTTTGAAATGGTTCAGTGGCTCCAATGGCCAAGAGAAGGGATGCCGGTATCCTTAACAGAGCATCTGTTGGGGGGCCTCCGAGGTCCAGCCTGGTCTCCGGCTCATGGTTGGTGGTGACCTCGGGGCATGGGACGGCCAGACTCACTGACTGTCCAGTCGGTTGCCCTCTGGATCCTTGATGAGCACGGCCAACACCTTACTGGTCTGTTCTTCCCCTTAGACATGCACATTTAATTCTAAATCTAAGTCTAGTGAATGTACAGTATTATGGTAGTTTCAGGTGTATAGCAAAGTGACTCAGTTGTGTGTGTGTATATATATATGAAATATATACATATATGAAAAGGAACGTGAAAAAGCTGAGAAGGAACATGTGTGTGTGCACAGACACACAGGTTTTCTTCTTCAGTCCTTTTCTATCACAGGTCATTACAGTCCTGAGTGTAGTTGCCTGTGCTGCATAGTCGGTCCTTGCTGTTTACCTATTTTATAGACGGCAGTGAGCGTGCTGAGTATTTTAATGGAAAAACTCATCTGCTCCTCCCAGTAGCCCTAAGAAAGAAAGACACTCGTTCCTGCCATTTCACAGATGAGCTGCCTGAGGTGCAGAGCAGGAGGAGCTTGCTGAGACCCCGTGGCTCCCTTGGCCCGCGTGCAGCCCACCATGCTGGCCCCCAGCGCCCCCTCCCTCTCTCGCCTCCCTGCCTGGATGCCCTGAGCTCCCGTGGTCTTCAGCAACTGTTGGTGTTTCCTGGAGGGACCCAGCACAGGATGGAGCGGCCAGTCGAGGTTTGTCGAACGGATGAATGAATGAATGAATGAGGGCATGGGTGAATGACATCGTTGGCAGCAGGTCAGGTGATGAGAGGAAGGGAAGGTCAGGTGGGCACAGGCCCCGCGCCCAACAGGATTCCAGCTCCTCCCGTCCCTCTGTTCTTGGATTGTTCCAGAAAGACAGTGAGAAAGGGCATCGGCATTGGAGCCACAGACCCCGGTGCTATCCCAGGCCTGGGGATGTGGCTGAGCCCCTGCCCAGCCCACGGAGGGTTGGACCCTCCAGGCGAGAGAGTGAGCAGGACCTCCCCTAACCACAGGCATTTCAGGTCCCTGGCTGAACTGTTGACTGAAACAGATTTCCTTTCATAGGAAACATTATCACCAAGAGCGAAAAGCCAGTATCTCTTGCCAAAGATAGGACGTAACCAGGAAAACACAGAAAATGACAACAGAACCGCCAGCGCTAGCCAGGTCTTGTTTTCCGTCTGCCTCTGAACCAGGCTGTTGCTTCTTTGTTGAAAAGAGAGGTTGGCACTGCTAAGGACAGCTGGAGAGGCATGGGATCCGGCCCGGGACCCGAGCCAACAGGACTGAAAAGGCTGGTGGAGGCCCTCCCTGGCCAGCGACCCCCACCCCTGCCCATGCAGGCTGCTCTCCCCGGGGAGACACGGAGGGGCTGGGGGCTTCTGCAGAGAGGCCGTTCTCCCCATAGGAGTCACCGAACGCCTCCTGCTCAGGCCCTCCCGGGGGGCGGCGAGCCCTCGCTGTCCGTTGCCCCCTGATGCCCTCACGCCTGGCAGACCCCAGTCCTCGTCCTGGGGGTGTCCCCTCCAGCTGCGCACATCTGCGCACCACCCGGAGCCCCCCCGGATGTCTTCCTCCTTCTGGAGGCGGTGGCCACCTCTGGCCCCCGGCCCGGCCTCCGACACGGCCTGACAAGGGCCAGATGTTCCTGAGTTCTCCTTCCGGTCCTGGCAGCTCCCGGCTCCAGGCCTCCAGGGGACGGACCTTCCCTGGGTTCTGCGGTGCAGACAGGGCTTCTGCAGAGCTGCCAAATCTGCCTTCTGCCCCAGCACCCTGGCGTGGCCACGTAAACCTCCACGACTGCCCCTGCCCCCAGCCCCCAGCTCAATCCCCTGTTCATCCACCAGTAAAGGCCGATGGCCCTGAAAGGAAATACGGCGCTTCTGAACACATGGGGGTCCTGCTCCCACTCAGTATTCTGGGGGACCTTAGGCGGCACTCCGGTGAACAGGAGGGTGTGTGTGTGTGTGTGTGTGTGTGTGTGTGTGTGTGTGTGTGTGTGTGTGA